AGAATTAACAATGCAGGAATCCAAAATTTAGTCTCGTACCAGGACAATGTCATAAGTCAATAGCTGAGTCTGCTTCCATCAGCACGGCCAAGAGCATTGAGATTATCCCCAGTACTGGTCAACAGAGCGTACATACTGTGCTAATGGAACAGATGGACCTCTCACAGGAAACAAGGAATTGCAGAGAGATTCATTGTTTCGGAGAGTGGCCCCCTCCCACTCTTTCTTTGGATTCTTCAGAGCGGCATCTGCTCTTTTGGCCTCCTGGTGGCACTGAAAGTGAATAATATTGAAATAGCTGACAGTAGTATAAACACACTCTCCACGAGCACTTCCTGAAGTGCCAACACCAAGGTTCACCCTTTTGCTGTAAGAGTATACACCCAGCAAGTCGGTAGGCCTAAGACTATATCCTTCTCGACACACCATGCAGGCCAACCCATCTTCCTCCTCCTCCAAATCTTCCAGGCCTTCCAAAAGTGGTCGTGCAACAATAATTCTTTCACCACCATCTGAAGCTAGTTCTTGACGCATTCCAAGTCCCTATTATGATTACCAAGAGAAAAATGAAAAAATAAGTATTCATATAATATCCAACTAAGTATATGTAACATGCGTGTAAAATTGTAGTCTAGAAGAATTCATTAACACATCTATCCTTGCAAGAGGAACCGAAAGTCTTAGTATGATAGCAGCAAGGGAGTCCAACGGGACGTACCTGAAGTAGCTCCTCTCTCTTTCTTAAAGCTCGACGCCTCATTTCATCCCTTGTGGCATGGCGGAGTGCACACACTTTTTTCTCCAAGAATCCATCTCCTTTTCCTTCCTTAGAAGATAGGGTATCTAACAAATTTTCAGCCCTTGCCCCAATCTCATTTTCTCCAGAAACACCTTCCAAAGCATGAAGCAAAGGTAAGATACCTCCCTCATCAATGCAACTTTGGGTGGCCAAGTGCCCCATTGACAAGCCCCTTAACATAGACAATATATGCGGTACAGACGGAAGTTTCAAAGCTGATGTCCATTCTGGACTAGATTTAAAGCCAGCTTGCCCTGCAACTGCAAAACTCTCCCTCAGATGCTTAACAGCAACACCTGTTATGCCTTCCTCTAAAATTATGTCTTTTAATCTCTCCCCACAGGAACTTGTCTTAAGTGATTCTGAGACTCTTACAAAATTTTCCACTGTGAACCTCTGCTTGATTGCTTGCTGAGCGATCCTCTCATCTTTTTGGTCATCCAGGTGTTGTCTCTGCAACTGGTCAAATTCGGCCCAGTCACGCAAATAAGGACTAAAATGCTGGATGAGTGCTTCCATTGCTGCAGGCTCACCATAAGTTAAATATGGCAAGATTCTTGCAACCATCTCAGTGTTCCTCTGTTGTTTATTTGATTTCTTAAGCCCTGATGGGTGGCAAAGTCTTTCCAGGAACATAAGAACTATTTTCTTTGCCTGTTCTCCGGTGCCACTTTCTTCACTAGTGACAGTAAGAACACTTTGAGAGATGTTAATGTTGTCACTTTCATTTGCCTCCAGTGTCAGACTCTCAACAATCAAAAGAATGCCTTCAGCTGGCTCCATGGCATCCACAGAAAAGGCACGTCTAGCTGTTTCAAGAAGAAGACCCAAAGCTCCTAGACTTAGCAACGCCCTTCTGTTCTCTCTAATCTTGCAGCAGTGCATAAGGAGATTGAGAACAGCAACAAGCTGCTCTTGATTGGACTTGAAATCATCTCTCAAACGCTGAAAATTTGAATTAGAAATCACATATCTCAGTAATTGGTCTATGACCAAGAATACAGTTTGCGTGAATATGAAAATAGAAAAATTCAGGATATTCTCCAAAAGAATAGCAGAAATGGACTAATCTGAAAAGGACTTAAAGGGCCTCTGATCTTCCATAATACAAAATACATAGGTGATTAAACTATAGTGATTCTCACCCGTTTCTAATTCATTACAAAAGGCGAATTCAATATATCTGCATAATTTAAAAGTTAACCTAGATTTGCTTTAGCATCAAGAACCCTTGTGCTTCTTTTGAAAGACATTCACATCTTATTCAAACTTTCTAGAGTCTTTGTTAAGTGGCAAAAACTACGAATTTCTTAAAAAAGAAATATTAATTTAATAAACAAATCTCCCAATCCCCTTGGCATGCCATATATTTGGGTAAGTCACTTTCCAGTTGCCTAACTTTCTTAAAAAATATTACACCACCTCCAAAATACACCCACCCAACCTGATGACTAAGATTTTTGAGTTTTATTGACTGACAAAAAAAAGGCAAAAGATCTCAAGCCAGAACATCAACCAACACATCTTTGAAAAGCAGAATTATGATAACCTGCATACCTGGATCATACCCAGCAAAATTTCCAGTCCACCATATTCACGAACTGCACCTGCTATTGCAAACTCAACCTCTGGATCTTGTGATTCTTCTCTGTCTTCCTCCAATTCCTTGATCATAGGTTCGGTAGCTTCACCATCTAATCCCTGTGAATCATACAAGGACAGTTAAGATGTCTTTCAACAAGTATAGGTCAATGCCTACTTGTCAACCAAAAAAGACCCATAATGGGATTGAGAAATGTTAACTCGACAAATGATAAAAGAGAAGATCTAGGAATAAAGAAAACAGGACATCTACACCATCTTTAAAGAAGCCTTTAGTAGTTCTAAATCTGGTTTTGAATGCTGATACTGATACTGAAAAAAATTATGAATCATAAGCATGCCAAAAAGAAGTGCATGATATACATATAAAGACAAGCAAATCACAAGCCTGCTTAATACAAGGGCAGGTATAAACTTAAAGAGAGATTGCAATTCTCGCAAGCCATTAACCATGCATACAGAAAGTATAAAAATGCCAAATGGTAAAGCTCTATCTAAAATGTAACTCAATGGATACAGCCATTGACTAGAAAAGAAAGTAGCAATAAACCTGGAGCCGATATGTCACTGTCATAGGTGGACAGTCTCTTGTTGATGTTGCAGAATTAGAAGATAACAAGGCAGCATTAGCCAAGACATTCGAGGATTGACTACTTGACTTCTTCCATACTTGCTCATAGACTTGAGCAATGCTCAAATCCAGTGAGATAATATTCCCAGCCACAAGCAACTCCATGCCATAGTCATCTTCTAGAAGACCCAACAAATCCAATTGGTGACAAATTTTATTTTTAACATCGCGCATCAATGGACCAATCTCAGCACTGGAATATGGATTCTTAGTCATTGATCCCCTAATAAACTCTTCTTGTGTGTGAGCTTTATTTAAAATCAACAGATAAACAGCCTCTGGTTTTGACGGGCAGATCAGGTTGCAAAGCTGCTCTAGGATAAACTGCAAAGATTGTTGAAATTTTGATTGCAATTAGCAATTGACTCTTGAGCTAACAGAGAAATCCTCAGCATTCAGAACACAAACTGAAACTTACAGAATCAGCATCCACTGCACTATTGATAAATTCTATTTGTGTGTTTAGAGTTTAATTATAATATTGGGTCCTAGTTACAATAAACTAAAGCTTTGGAATATTGGTTAAGATGGCTATTGGATAACATTTCTATTCATATGTTGGGCGTCATTTCTTGTTTTGGAATATACTGCACGGGCCTCATCTTAGGAACCTAAACAACAGCCTAATACATCCTAGAAATTTAAAGCATCTCCTACTGCTATGTGAAGGTCAAAGAGCTGAGCTAAATTTCAAAATAAATATGATAGATATATATATTGTTACCGCACAAAATAAATTTATGCCAACACTATTAATACTTTTTAGGTGTCAAAATTTTCCTTAGCTGATCTCAAACACTATCGAGAGCAAAAGAAATGGCAGATTTTCTTTCTTATTTTACAATGTACTGCAAGTGACCATCTAATTCATCGTGGGAACCTTAATCAAACAGCCACCAAGAATGAGACATCTTAGAAACTAAAAACATCCATCTCTTGAGGATATGTGGAAGGTAAATAACCGAGTTGAAGACTTCAAATAAAAAAGTTCCATTGGCTATAAAAAAGTTGCAGTAAAACAGGACAGATATTTGGAATTTCCTCATACCAAACAAGTTCTTCCTTTCCTCTCCTCCCTGTGCGTTTGCAGACCACAAATACAGGCACGGATGAACTGCCGTTTATTTTCACTGCTTTCAAGCAGAAGACTGTCAAGAAGATCTTTTAGAAGCCGATTGCAATCACTAATTAATTTTGTCTTCTGCACTATCAACCCACGAATGACAATAAGGGCTTCTAAAACTTCAGCCAGCAAATTGTCTCGCATAAACCTGGCATCACAAATCCAATTATTTGAAAGATTAAGAGATACAACCATCAGAAACAGAACAAGAACTAGCAGTGTAGTGGTGATACCTGGATCTGATATTGGGGACCTCTAAGAATTTGCCAAGAAGCTCAATGAGCTTGTGGAGAATGAACCCTTGGGAAATGTCAATATGCAGACTCCTTTCTAAAGATTCAATATTACCCACCTCTTGGGTAATTAATTTACAAATTATTGTTAGACAGCCCCTTACAGTCAAGAAAAGACGAGCCTCTTCTGAGTCAATCATCCTGACTAGCAATTCAAAATATTCAGCAGCACTTTCACCAGCTGGAAGAGTCGCTGGCAACAAACCCATTAACAAATTTAACAGCCGAAAACGTTTTGTCGAACTCTGAGCACAGAGTAAACTGATTAACATGCACATTTCTGATCTAATAGATTGAGAACAAGCACTCAGAACAAGTTCTGTAACCCATGAACCGAGCTCAAACGCTTGTAAGTCGCTTTTAGCTGCTTTTGAAACACGGCGTTTCCACCTAAGAGCATATTTGATAGCCAAGTAATCAATTCTTTGAGTTCGAGACCTCTGGCCACTGCCTTTAACAGCCTGAGAAACTCTGTATTGTCTTCTAACAAAGTCAAGATATGATGCTCCCCTCTCCCATTCTGAATAACTTAGCAATTCGATATCTTGAGCCTTATGAGAAACATCCCAACTATTCTCCGAAGATTCAGTGACAGATTTAAGAGCAATACCACCTAGAGATCCAGATATACTAGAGCTATTGTCATCCTTTAGTTGTGTAGAAGAAGCTGATTTTCCCACACCTTGCTCTTTATCTGTTGTATCAGGCTTTGGAGGAGTACACGCCTGAGATATAATCCTCAGGCAAGGAAGAATAATATACTCTGATATAGCAGGATGCTTGGCACCCAATTTAATAGAAGAAAAAAGCAATTGGAAAACAACACGCAACCTTGACTCCCAGAGTTCATCCGCCAAGGAACACACTTCTGAAAGCAATAACAGTTCCTCACGGGTGGCCAGTGCAATATCCATGGAGCGATAGTGTTCAAGGCAGTACATAACTTTCTTCTGTATCAAATTGTTCAGCTCAGCAACTGCGTTAAAATCACCTTCAGAAAATGCACAGAGAGCTGCCCTTGCTTGCACACGAGTTGCTCTTGGACCTTGATGAATATTATTTTCAAACAACTCAGATAAGATACCAGCAGCTACAATTTGTTTCTTAGAATTTGGATGCTTTGATAGCACCTGTAGTATCTCAAGACATTGTGTCACAAAAGTAGTAGCACAACCATAGCAATTATTTGGAGACCTGGAAACTACAAATCTTGAAGCAGAAACCAAATTATCCGAGTGTTTCTGGTGCAAATAATTCATCAAAACCCGACGGAGCCCTTGCAGTGTCTGCACACTTTTGCTGACAGAATCAAAAGCAGCTTTGCACTTCTCGCCATATAGGACACCCAGAAGTGCAATCTTGCGGTTTATCTTGCATGAAGGTCCAGGCATAGAAACCATCATTTGTTGCACTGAATCCTTCTGTTGTGAATCCATGTCATTTTCGCCAATGCTTGATACAATCTTGAGAAGGGGTTTCTTGAAGCCAAGAAGTTGCTGATATCTCCTATGAGCATTTTCTGATTCAGATTCTATTGCTGCCAATCCCCTTTTCATATCTTCATCATTCTCCATGTTATCAAATGTAAAACTAGGCTTTGCCATGAAGTTGAACTCAAAACGACCATATTTGCTATATCCACATTCATTGCAAAGGAAAGAATCCAAATTCTCATAATTGATGTTCCGGCATTGCCTGCATTGATATGCATTCTCATGGCAATTGCTGCAAATTCCATGCCTATCAGTGACAGGTCGACTGCAGCGTGGGCATTGCAATGGCTCAAGAGACAAGGCTTGAAGATTTTCATAGAATGAATCCAGCTCAATCATGAAGTTACATGCGGTTATTGGAATTGGAAATTCCACCTTGAGCTCAGTCTGGTTGAAAGCAAGATGACAACTCTTTGCACGCTTCCACAAAGACCAATTATTTTTTAGCTCTGACAAGTCAGACACGGGTCGATTGTTGTAATACAAGTTCAGGACTTTTACTGATTTTGATTTACGAGCATCATGAACATTCATGGTCACAGTCTGGATGGTGTAACTTCCAGTGCATTTCACAATGATGCGGTTGTCAGTAAACTTCGTCTCAGACTTCAGACTTTCTAATTTCATTCTGCTGTAAGGCACCTCTGGAGAGCTACAGGCAACACAAGGCTCACTCTCAAGATAGTAACCATCAAAATCCACCAGACCACTCAGAGTGCTGTATATGCGGGAATTTGGATGATTAGCTATAAGCTCATTTTGAGAATGAACTGTATCAAAAATGCACTTTATTACATCAGAGGTCAAACAACGGTCCACAATTTCACCATTCTGTTGTTTTGTACCATTATCGGGAGCCTTCCCAAGCAACCAGGTAACAAGTTCAGTATACTCAACAATATTCTGACCATACATTGGCAAGCATTTAACTTTCTGCAAGAGAGCTGTCAACATGGTTTCCTTGAATGATTGCTTCCCATGATGCCACAGCCCACAAAGAACATACTTGGTTTCTGCACGCACAGAGCTTGAATTCCATTCAAGTAAAAAGCAATCAATAAATTGTCTCAAGACATCTCCATTTTTGTCAGCGAAAATATCAACAACTGCTTCCATATCCAAATATGACTTTTCCGAACCAGAATCATTTCCATCTTCACCTTTCCTCTTCTTTTTTGAATCCATATACTGTGTGCCTGATTTGTTTGAACTTGTTCCTGAATCCACTACTTCAGTCTTCTGTAAAGTGTGGCTCATATCCTTTCCTGAATAGAAAGCTAAATTTAGAAGTTTTAGAGTCTGGATAACAGACTCTTCACAGAAATAAAATACTCCATTCAGAAGAAAAGGCAAAACATCTCCATGCCTTACACAATACTTCTGCCAATTTCGAGGCGGTGAAGCAGTTACTTCAGCCATCGTAGACAGACACTTCACTATCTTAACACTTCTTTCATACGGAACAGGATTTTGAAAACCACCAGATTTATTAACATGTTTGTAGAGTTTCTTCATTTCACTTGAAAATTGCCAAGAATCTCGAACACTATAGTAGTGAGTTTTGCTTCCACAGAGATGAAGAAAAAGTCTCCTTGCATATCTTCTACAATGTTGCATGTGATTATTTATGTAGCTGCAGAGGACATCTGATACCCATCTACTTCAA